TTGCTGGTCCGGCCGTCGGTGCTGACTCCACCCTCAGTGGCAGGTGTTTCGACGGTGCCGGCTGAGGTCTCGGTGCCGCTTGGAGGCTCGGTGCCGTAGAAGACGGTGCCGACTCCGGGCGCACTGACGGTGCCGGTGGTACGGAGAGCGCGGGACTAGGCGCCGATGTGCTGCGGGCTTTAGGTGCCTTATCCGCTCCCTGTCTGGGAGGGAAGCCCGATGAGCTCCGTGCTTCTCCTGCACTTACACTCCTAGAGGGAGCAGAGCTTTTTCCGTCCCGAGACTTACGTGGGACTGAAGCCTCCCATTGCTCAGTTGACGGAGGTTGGAGCGCCTTGTTGAAAAGCAACATCTTCAGGCGCATTTTTCTGTCATGCCTAGCCCGAGCAGCCAGTTTTGAGCAGTGACCGCATTTTGGGGGGATGTGGCCTTCTCCCAGACAGCAGATGCAGCGGGAGTGGCCGTCCGAGGCAGGCATAGGGTCAGCGCAAAAGGCGCACTTCTTGAAGCCCGGGGATCCAGGCATGAGGGCGGCACTAGAGGGGCCGGTCAGAGAGGCCTATGAACGATGGCTGTTAATTCTAATTTTAACTGTTTTAACTTTTTTTTTTTAAAAAAAAACAACTATCAACTAGAGAAAACTAAGAATACAAGGAAGGGGCTAACTGGGAAGGACAGAAACTGATGATAAACTCGATTCTCCTCAGAAAAGGAGGAGCGTGTCCTAACTCCATCTGCGACCGTGGACGGTTAGGAGGAACTAGTGCGTCGGACTGCTCAACACAGAAAAGAGCACGAACGGCGCGAGGCACTTCTGCGCATGCGCGGTCCTCCAAAGGGGGCTACTGCTGGCAAAAACTCTCCGGTTTGCGGCGCCGGGACAAGCCCAACACCTTTAGTGGAGCACCGACGGGGACATCACTCGAAGAAGAACTTTAGTGCCCAGATGTATTACAATTGTCTTTGGAATGCCTGCCACTCAATTGATCTTTGTTAGTATAGCTTGATAAAGGTTAGGAACTCATCGTTCCTGCTCAATGAGGGTATCATGTGCTGTGATTGTGAACATTTGGAGATACGCATTGTCTAAAGTGGACAAAACTTGATTATTGTGGTCGACTACCATTTTACAAGTTGGCATAATTCTCAAAGCTTTTCCAGGTGAAAAGTCCCCTTGCTGTTTCCTCACATTTATGCAGTAAAATATTTAGTTGGTCTCGTGTGAGTTTTTCCTAAGATTATTTAAAATTTCAATAAATGTTGTATCCCCTTGCTGCTGCCTGTTTTCAGTCAATTCACAAAAGCTAAAGAGGTGCCAGAGCTGCACAGTGGGTCTCACTGAAACACGCTGTTTATAAACGGGACTGCCTGATACTGGTTAAAGTTGAAGGAGATCACTGAAGAGCAAAATGTTCAAGCCTCCCAAAAGTTCATCAACACTGATCAAATATTTGCAGAAATTATTGTTACCTGTAGCTTCTTCCTCTGGATCTTGTTCTGGTGGATTTTCTGCTCCTTGTTTGATCTTCCTCTGGGGCTTCCTCAGAGTTTTGAACCTCTTTGTTTCACACACTTACAACTTTGTATCGAAGATCAGGCTTTCTTGTGTTACCATAAATTGCTCTTTTCATACTCACTTTCATAGGCAGGCCACACAGGCGGAGACTTGGTGTTGATTTAACATTGCCATACATATTTTAAACAACTTCCGAGAAATATTGCTTTCCTCCTCTCTGATTTGAGCAATAGTGAGACTCTGAGGCTTTTTTGAAGACTTCTAGGTTCACATTAGGCGATAGCGATAGCAACTCTATACGGTTAAATATCCATGTTCACACGTCACGGCTTAATATCGAACCTTCTTGAAGTCTCTGGAATCCATCCCAGTCAAATCAAACTTTCCAAAAGCCCTTCCAACACAAATACAATGCACACTCATATGTTTGTATACGTATATGCATGTGTGTGTGAAAGTTGAAAATCCCATGACAGACAGTCAAGAACGGTGGCTGTTTAACAGAAAGATTGTCTAATAAAAATTAAGTTCAAATTCCATGGAGGGGCCAAATCCTATACTAGGGAATACAGATTTACTCAGCTTTTTTAAAAAAATCCATTGATGTGAATATGGATTGCTGCTGCTACTGCTAAATGGACTTTAATGGAGGACAGAGACAACCTCTTGTTTTTTAAAATGAAATAAGTATTCCAAAGCAAGTGTTATAGGGACCGACATTCCATTCATTTGACCAAACAACAAATCTTTTCCATTTTAATTAATGCAAAGCTTATTTTCTTCAGTATTTTTAACATGGTGTCTAATCTTTTACACATTTACCAATAAATCTTATAATTGGACACCATTAAATCATCATAAAAGGATTTCAGAAAATCCTCTGACATTTACCTTTTTTATTAATAAGCCATCATTATGACAAACAATACTATTTACATGGCTCAGCAGAGGAAAAAAGCAGTTATGACCATTAAAATAAAAATGATAATATTCCAAAACAAGCTCTCCATATTTTAGTATAACAAAAAAAATGCTTAAGAATAATTTTTTACATGTGTAACAGCAGGATGAAGGCAAAAACAATGTAAGCACCTAGCAAAGTTACTTCCTACCTCCCCTCTATAATTTTTACTAACGATTTTGGTCATACTATGCCTTTACTAACGATTTTGGTCATACTATGCCTCATATATTAGAGCTGAAAGACTAATTGGCATGTCTACTTATTATTTCACAAAATCCATGTGTTGTTCAGACATGTTCTGAACTGAAATATAGCAGTTTGCAAAACAAAACAACTTTATCAAGAGAAAATAAAAATCTGTTTCCCTGGTTAGCTCTAGCAAGACACCAACTGGAATTCTTAATTACCATCAGGCAAAGCAGATTTGAATATCCTTTGCTAATTCTCAAGATCAGTATTTCTCCCCTTTTTCTCTTCCTTCATTAATAAAAATGTACTGGTCAACTCACCTCTCTTTTCTCTGTTAACTTCCTCTAGGACTTGTTCTTGTTTCTTTATTTGTTCAAAGAGAGATTGACGTTCACACTCTTTGCTCAGTGTCAAGTGCTTAAGCTGTTCTCGACTCTGCAATAGTTGGCGCCGCAGTTTCCTTTCCTTGTTTTCTCTTTCTTTTACCTCTTCACACATCCACTGAAGTTTAGTCTAGAGAAGAACAAATTTATGTGACACTAAAAAGGAGAAAGAATTCTAATAAAAATAATAGAATTTAAATTTTAAACTGGACAAGAACATTTCGAATCAGCTTACTGATTTATAACAGCTATTACTACAGCAGTTTAAAAAGAAACATGAAAAATACATTAAAGGTCAAATACTGACTTATGCAAATGGACTCAAAATATGCATATATATTTTGATTGGCAGCAACTGTATGCTCAGGCCAAGCATGCACATTATTTTTTCCAGGAGAATAAACCTGCAGGATGAGTCTATTGTCCTCTGCTGGTTCATAGGTAGCATTGCCAGGTGTCCAGTTTTCAATTAGAACACCCATAAAAAATGGTCAGAAAGCCCTGGAAGCTCTAGTCAGCACCATGGACTGTAAATTAAAAGTCTAGTTGGCAGTGCAGCAAGGCTAAGGCAAGCTTCCTACCTGCCTAGGTCCACACAGCTCCTAGAGTGTTGTCAGTATCTGCCTCCAGCTTTGTGTGTAGGGGTGGCCATGGGGACTCTGTGCTTTGCCCAGTTCTTTCAATCTTCCCTTACAGATTATATTTAGTAGACCTTTAATGATTTTTATTGCTCTTCCAATTTGTCCACATCTTTCCTGAAATGTGGCAAACAAAACGGACATAATACTCCAGTTGAAGCCTAATCAGCACAGAGTAAAGAAGAAGAATTATTTCTTGTGTCCTGCTTACAATACTCCTGCTAATACATCCCAGGCTGATGGTTGTTTTTTTGTAACAGTGTTTACACTGTTCACACATTTAACGTGTGGTTCACAATGATCCCTAGATACCTTTCTGTACTAGCTATTTTCCATTTTGTATGTGACAACTGATTGGTCCCTCCTAACTAGAATACTTTGTGTTTGTCCTTATCGAGTTTCATTCTTTTTACCTCAGACCACTTTGTCCAGATAATTTTGAGTTATAATCCTATCCTTCAAAGTACCTCCCACCTCATCTGCAAACTTTAAAAGCATACTCTCTGTGCCATTATCTGAGTCACTGATGAAAATATTGAATAGAACTGGTCCCAAAACTGATCCCTCTCTTTCCCCACTCATTATGCCCTTCCAACATGACAGACTGATTCTTATCACCTTATTATCCTCTAGATGCTTGTTGCATCCTGATTCCTTAATTATGTGTCCTATTATCTTTCCTGGTACAGAAGTTAAGATGACTGGTCTGTAATTCCCCGGGTTCTCTTTATTTCTCTTATTTATAGAATGCCCCCCTTTTCCAGACTTCTGAAATCTCTCCCATCTTCCATGACTTTTGCACCTTGAGTATGCTAGGATATATTTCATCAGGCTCTGCTGACTTTAAGACATATAATTTGTGTAAGTAATTTTAACTTGTTCTTTCTCTATTTTAGCTTCTGAAGCTACCCCATTTTCACTGGCATTCACTATGTTAGGTGTCCAATCACCACCAGCCTTCTCGGTGAAAAATGAAACAAATCATTAAACACCTCTGCTATTTCCACATTTTTTGTTATTGTTTTTCCCTCTTCATTGAGTAACAGGCCTACCTTGGCCTGGGTCTTCCTCTTGCTTTTAATATATTTGTAGAATAATTTCTTCTTACCCTTTATATATCTAGTTAGTTTAAACTCATTTTGTGCCTTTCTAAATTTTGCCCCTACATACTTGTGTTATTTGTTTATATCATCCTTTGTAATTAAGAATGTTAAAAAGCGGTTAATTAGGTAACCATGTAACCACTGAAAATCTCAGCAGTTACACAGATACATGCTGCAGTCCCTGAAGTATAAAGTTTATACTGAAGAGCCTGCAGCGCAGCCAGTTCCCCGTGCACAGAGCCACCATCCAGTGTACACTAGAAGCTGTCTCCCAGCTTCTGGCCCCACTCCCAGGGAGCTGGCTATGCCGTGGACTCTACAGTATAAGCTTTATATTGCACAGCCTGCAGCGCAGGGCAGCAGCTGGATCCCCAGAAGCCAGTATGCACCAGAAGAGAGGTTTAAAACTGGATCCCAGCATGCACTGGCCCCCACTTGCAGCCTTGCTCCCAGGGAACCAGTTACTGATATGGAAGCAGTAGCGTGAGGCAGCAGCCAGAACCCCAGGAGCTGGTGCGTACTGTGAACTAGCTTTTTAAGCTGGTTCCCAGCACACACCAGCTCTTGCCTGCAGCCCTACTGCTTCTTCTAAAACAGAGGCAACAACACAAGATGGAAGCCAGTTCCCGGCATGCACCAGCCCCCAGCCCCACGCCAGGCTTCTGGCACCACTCTCAGGGAGCCAGCTGCTGGCCAATGCTGCAGACCTGATACAGAGTCAGCAGTGTGGCATGGCAACTGGTTCCCCCTGAGTGGGGCTGGGAACCTCCATGTAACTGTTATGGTAACTGCTAAATTAACTGTTTCCATGGCTATACTTTAACATCCCTATTTATAATTTGACCTATTTTCCAATTTTTGTAGGGCTACTTGATTTTTAAATTATTGAAGTTCTCCTGATTAATCCAGGATGGTCTCCTGTCATACTGCCTATCTTTTCTATGCAGTGCAATAGTTTGTTCTTGTACTCTTAATAATGTCTTTGAACAACTGCCAACTGTCTTCAATTGTTTTTCCTCTTACACTTGCTTCCAACAGAATCTTACCTACAGACTCCTTGACTTTGCTAAAGTCTGTAGTCTGTGTCTTCTTGAAATCCATGTCTTTATTTTGCTGTTCTCCCATCTACAATTCCTTACAATCATGAACTCTAGCATTTCATGATCATTCACCCAACCTGTCTTCTACTTTAAAATTCTCAACCAGTTACTCCCTGAAATATATAGCAGATAAATAAACAGATAAGGCTGTTCGTTCTTTTGGGTGGAAAAGATACAAATCTCAAGAACTATAGGATTTCTATTCTCTTTCATTTCAGATCTCCTCTACCACAATAACTAAAGAAACTCATTTGGCAGATTTATGAAAACAATTACTAAATGCCTATGGAAGGCTCTTCTAATACTGCCTAGGATATCAGCAGCACTTATCTGATTCGGAGACTGTTTCCTATACAGTTCTTGTCCTCTGATTCACAATCTTGTCTCTCTTATTTATAGTGATATTCGCTCTTGATCTATGTGCATTACATGCTAGCCGATCAATAACCTTAAGACATCCTTGCTAACAAACAAACAGATTCAATTTCTCCTCAGTCAACTGATCAACTTTTCTTTCTCTGTCATGACCTTTTTACATTGCAGCAAAAAAGCTTTGTTTCATGAAGTATAAAAGCTATTTTAATCATGAGAAGCTTAAGCCCTATTAAAGGATACTGGGTAAGGCTGCAAAGTAAAAAGCAAAGGTTAGAAGTTAACCAGTCATCTCTTTGAACCATTAAGCTGAGGCACAGAAATGAAAATGTACCGTAGCTAACATGCCCAGGTTGGCTCGCTCATAAGAGATTTCCAAGCATGTGTGCTCACATTACCAGGCTCATGGGATTTAAAAGCATGGTTAAAGGAAAATAGAATGTTTTTCAGGAATCTAATCTAAAAGCTTTTGATTAAAACAAAACTGCTTTACATCAAAACATTCCTTGACTTTTCTTATAATCCTATAGAAAACAGCATTCCTGTGGACTATAAGCTTCCCTTGTTTTACTCCGAAAGAACTGTGTGACAGGGTGCAGTCACAGAAGACCCCATGGGGGCGCCCTCCAGAAGGCTGACAAGGCCACTGATACTCACTTTCCTGCTCTCTGGGGCTTCTCACCACCTGGTACTGCTGGGCCAGCTCCGCTAGTCTCTCCTGGCCAAGGCACCAAGTTGAGATCACTGCCCCCCAAGAAGCAGTACAGATACTGAATCTCTTCAGATTCATGGAAAAAGCCTAGAGCCCAGCTTCCTGGGAAGTTTAGGGCCCAGATTCCTGGGAAGCCACTCCCCAAATGGGATTAGAACCCCAAATGAATTATATAGGCAAGTCCCCTTTAACAATTAAAGGAGAAATATACATACCAATTGCTCCCCCAGGTAGTAATTATTTACAATGGGCTGGATAGAAAATAAAAGTGATTTTATTAAGCACAAGCAGTTGGATTTAAGTGGTAGTAAGTGAGAACAGGCAGAGCAAAGGAGATTACAAACTCAAAATAACAGAAAATGCTTAGCTAACTAACACTGAAACCTCAGTACTCAAACTATATAAACTCATCCTAAAACTGTTTTTTTCCAGCTAAGCCTTCCAAACCAGGGCTGTTATTCACCCTGGGGTCTTTGATTCCCTCCTTCAGGTGCACCAGTCAAAGACAAAAAGCTCCTAAATTTCCCGCTGTTTTCAAGCAGGGCTACTCAACACGTGGCCAGTGGGCCGCATGCAGCCCACAGCCTGGTTGTTTGCGGCCCATTTGTTTGTGGTGCAGCTTGGGTTTAAGCAGGGCTCAACACATGGCCCATGAGTGGGAGCCAAAACAAAAAAGTAATCAATATAATGGTCTTCTTTTGATATGTGATTTAGTAGTTAAATTCCTGGACTGTCATTGCTCATTAAAATGCTGTCATATAGGTGGAAATCAGGTAAATATTGCATTTTATTAATATCAGCAGAACTGACTTAAATGGGACTTGCGTGTTGCATACTCTTACCTTAATCTTTGTACTCATGCCCGTCAGTGAGAAAGAAGCTATTTGCATGCATTTGCATATATATATGCATGCATATGCAACCATACTTAAGTTGCGGCCCTTGGCATGTCCTGTGAGTATCACTGTGGTCCGCAGAACTTCCAAAGTTAAGTAGCCCTGTTTTAAAGAGTTCCCCTTTTGCATGGAAAGCTACCTGACCAGTCCCTTCCAGTTAGGTAGGTCACATGACTTCCTAGGATCAACTACTGCTAAAACTTAAAGGACAAAAGAGTTGTTTACAGCTGATCTGACCTTGAGGAAAACACCCTTGATGGCTTGCCTTTGCATTTTTAAAACCATAAAACATTCCATACTCCATTTATCTAGCTTTACACACAAGAATGATACATACACCAAAATAAGATATAAAAATCCAGTGGATTATAACAGGGAGATTGAGAGGTTACATAAAATAATTTGCTCAAAGCACTTCTGAGTTAGGTATACCTCTGTCCACAAATCCACTTTCTAAAGCATGGGGAGGATGTCCATCACAAATTGATAAAAGGAAAAGGCAATCCAGCAAACAAAGGGTCATATTTTCAGCAGGCTTCCATTACACTGCTCTACAGCCAAAATGCTTCTGAAATAAATGTAATCAAACTTTACTAATTCTGGGTCACTGAGAATGAAAATGATGCTTAAAATTGTTGATTGGCTCTAGTTTTCAAGATATGCTATTGGGTCAGTATATACGACCCTTGACTTGCGAATGGCGGAGGATAAGTGAGTTATAAAGGGAAGGGATCTCAGCTTAAACCAGAAATGACTAAAATACATCTTTGACTGGATCTATGAATAAATCTATGACTGGGTTTGGACAGTACTCGCTTTTTAGGCAAAACAATGAATGATGCAATCTGAAGCTGGTATTGCGTCATACATAATATGAATTGCATCATGTTATTTCTAGAAGTCATGGATGTTTGCTTCATAATGGCAATGTTTTGCCATCAATTCCAGTTCGTCATGCAGTCCATATGAAGGAAACCTATGACAACATGAAACAACTTTTGAGGTGCATAAACTATGACCCACATCAGTGGCAGCTTTGTGGCAATTTGAAGGTTGTTGCTCTCTTGCTTGGTCTGCAGACTGGATACACAAAGTACTGCTGTTTTCTCTGCGAATGGGATAGTCGTGCAAGAGATTCCCACTACATCAAGATAGACTGGCCACTCTGACAGTCATTGGAGCCTGGGAGGAAAAGTGTTCAGCATCCACCACTTGTTGAATCAAGGAAGATTTTGTTACCACCCTTACACATCAAGCTGGGTCTGATGAAGAACTTTGTCAAGGCCATGGACAAAACACAAGCAGCTTTCAAGTACCTCCGTGGAAAATTTCCAAGGTTAAGTGAAGCTAAGATAAAGAAAGGTGTCTTTGTTGGTCCTCAGATTCGTGAACTTCTTCGAGATGATGCATTTGACCATGCACTGCGTGGCAAGGAAAAGACAGCATGGAAAGCCTTCCAGTTAGTGGCAATAAATTTTCTCGGAAACAACAAGGCAGACAACTACAGGTTGGTGGTGGAAAACCTCCTCAAAGCATACAATAGCCTTGGTTGCAACATGTCACTAAAGATACATTTTTTGTACTTTCATCTAGATTTTTTTCCACCGAACTGCGGAGCAGTGAGCGACAAGCATGGCGAGCGATTTCACCAGGACATTGCAACAATGGAGAAACGCTATCAGGGCAAATGGAGCCCATCAATGCTTGCAGACTATTGCTGGACAGTGACAAGAGATGCTCCATTTAATGAATACTAGAGACAAGCCAAGAAGCGCCGAGTAGACACTGAATAGGACTAAACTATGTACATAATAGTTTTTTGCCTTTTGTTTCATAATAAATTTTATTTATATAACCCTTTTGCTGATTGTTAAAGTGTTACATAAACAGGACAGGTGAAATATTATCATGTAAAGCAACCATACATAAACACATGAAAAGACCTAGGTTTCCAATTTATGATTAAAACTCTACTATCTACACAATATACATAGACGTAAAATGTAAAAACTTAAATATCTTGGAAACAGTAGCCAATCAGTTGTTTTAATTGTCATATTTGAATTCAGCACATCAAAATACATAATAAATAGCACATTTTATCTCTGAAGCAGATGACTTCTAAAAAATTGTAGACCAGTGTTATTTTACTCACAAATGCATTTGTTTTTCTGGTTGTTCAGAATGTGGGTGTTCTCACATTTAATAAGCATAACTGAAGGAGAAATTCTATAAATTTGGGTATACAAATACCTATAGATTATTGATAAGTAGCATAACTATCAATAAAAGTACCAATAAATAAGCTAAAGTCTAGTGCCTTTCAGAAATATGGTGACACTTTTTTACACCAGAAATCACTTGCTGGTACCCAACAGATAATCGAAGACCTTTAGCTGAAAAAATCACTGCCATTCTAATTGTCTTGAATGGTTATCACCTAGCTGGAAATACCAACACACATATCAGAAAAATGTTACAGGTATTTGAATTTTTCTCCTACCTCATCCCTTTTTAACTCCAATTTTCAAATACCATTTTTAGTAACCAAAACCAGCTGGTAAGTATTATCCAATAATAGCTAGTAAAAGATGAAGTTACCTTTGTTTCTGCTAACCAGCGATGAGGGTCATTATGTAAACCAGGTGTAAGTGATATTGCCTGGAAAAAAAAATTAGACACAAAGGGAATTGTTTTTTGTTTATTGAACAAAATGAGAACATTAATTCAAAGAATCATTACTAAATACAGGTTGAACCTCTCTAGTCTGACACACTCTGGTCTCTGTACTCTAGTTTCTCTCGTCTAGGCTTGTCTCGTCTGGCATGATTTTAGTTAGACCTATGTCCACTTATCATAGTGTGGCCATTTCCTATAGTCCCATAAAGTTTGTTTACACCACCAGTCCTGGCTTTCAGTGTTCTGTGCAGTTATTTAGCTCTACTTTACTCCCCTAAATATTTTCTAAGAGCCCAGTAAGCAGTGGAGCTATGTTGGTAATGCTGCTAGATAATATTGACCTCACATGGTCCAGCAAATACTCTAGTTTAGCACCGAAGATGCCAGACTAGAGACGTTCAACTTGTATCAATATTGGAAAGTTTACTCCTAAATACTTGAAAGGGCTGTTTAATTTTCTATTGGTAACATTAAAGTACATTTAACACTAGATATGTTTCAGAAAATGATCGTGTTAAGTCAAAACGTGTTACGTGGGGTCAATTTTCCCATTGAAAATAATGGAAAAGGTGGGGGTTGTATTTCAAGTGGTGGTGTCTGTTGGGACCGGGACATAAGGTTGAGGGAGAAAGGGGACTGGATTACAGCAGGGAGGGGGAGGTGTTTGGCTCTGGGGAAGGGAAGGAGAGAAGAGGGGAGGGGAGGGGGATTGGGTTGGGAGTTTGCACCTGTGACAGGTCTGCCAAGACCCGCACTGCATCCAGCGACAGGGTGGGAGGTCACCGGGGAATGGCGCGGTGAGTGGTGAACCCTCCGCCACTTTGCAGGGAGGTGGGGGGAAGCTCCACGCAGCCGCCGGCAACGGGCTGGCTGGGGAAATCGTGTTATTCCAGGGACAGTCATGTAATTCAAAAAATGTTCCCTAAAAAAAACTTGCTATCATGAAAACATGTGAAGCGGGCATGTGTTAAATGAGGAATTACTGTATGAGCAATGAAGTATGCAATTATTTGGTACACAGTATTTTTCCCCACTCTATCCATATGCTTATTACAACACTATGTGATTATAACATCCTTAAAATGCTTACATATTTTATTATTATAGTTGTATTATACCAACAATAATGCATCTAGATGTGTATTCTTAGGAGCCCCTTTCTAAAAATTATGTTTTATTTAGAGTGAAATACAATTTACAATTGTTGATCTGAATCACGTTAAAGTGGTTGTTGTTTTAAAGGCTAGTTTCAGAGTTATCCAACCTCATTTTCACCAGACTATATTGCAACACACTACATAGCACAGAAGTAGTACAAGCCATTTTTGTTTGTGATTTCATTGTTGGAATTTTGACTTTTCTTTTGGAATAGGACATGAGATTTTTGACTGTTTATTCAATTACACATTTCTTGCTTCATCAAAATGAGTGAGAGAAATGTACACTAGGCTCCAATAAAAACTTAGCATTGCTATTCCATTGTGTTGATGCTATCCTCTATTCCAAGTATAAGAAGACATCAGACTTATTTCAGATATTTGAGATTGATGACTACAAGTTCTTACATACAAGTTCTTCTTGTATATTAAGGTAATAAAATTACTAATGAATATAGAAGATACATCTGTACTGGGTATTTTATTAGCAAATTATACATCGGGTATCTTTCATACCCTCTTCCACCAATCCCTTTAAATCCAATTACACCATAAATTAAAATGTTTTAAAAAGGAAATGTATCTAATCTCTACATTTTTTAATAAACTCATCTACTTCTTTTAGTTGGTTGTCTTTCATTACTTCTTTATAAAGAAGTAGAAAAAAATCTGTGGTTGCATAGATCTGTACTTTTAATTGAAGTCTAGCTGAATTTAATATCTATTTAACATAAGATACATCATCTTTTGTAGAGAGCAAATCTGAATCATGACCCATATATCCTGCTCTTTTCCATCTCAAAGTGGTATGTCTTTTTCTTGTTTAATTTACAATACTTGTTGGACTGTGATACTTTTATCTGGTATGCAATCATAGGGATTTTATTGTATGCCCATGAGTTTTCTTTGGTGCAAGTAATATTTTTTGTAGTAAGTCTATTTCTTTAACACTATTTGCTTAAGTGGGTTCTCTACTACAGATGTAAAAATGAAAGGATCAAAAAACAGTACCTCTTGTACTGACCTACACAATGAGAAAGTCAAACACTTGTGGAAGAGGGTAGGCAGGGACAGTTCACGTGACAGCAAAACACAGATAGAAAAAAAATCCCAGTTTATCCAGAATTCTTCAAGTTAAAACACTTGGCACAACTATCAAATCTCGTCAGCCTTTTGCTTTCAGGAGAGTGTAATGGATGAATACTACATATTTGCTAGCTTCCTCCAATAATACCATTATCTTTCCTTTAAATCCTCACAAGACAACTAGATTGCACTTATACTTTTAGAAGAAAATTACTTGGGTTAAACATGTCCAGAGCCCTTGACAGAACGCACAGTGCTGGGAACACACTTGGGTTAAACATGTCCAGAGCCCTTGACGGAACGCACAGTGCTGGGAACAGTAGTATTACTAAAGTCCAATGAGAGCCATGTTTTCCTTAATTCTCTCAGCTGTGCTTCCCTCCACATAATACTTCTACACTGTGCCAACATGGTCAGAGTGTGAAAAATTATTTTTCTGTAAGAAAAATTATGTCCCCTTCATTGGCTAGAGCAAAAGTCAAGTGGCTCAAATTTGTTTTAAGTCTGCCAATAACATGTAACTGAAGAGGCCTGATGAAAATGGACAGTCAGGAAAAGCTGTCAACATTTTCTTTTAAAATAAAAACAAAACCTCCATATTTTGGCATTATTTTGAAATTCCCAGTTACATGTAATTTCTAAGAAGGATGTAAATTAAAACAATAATGCCATCTGTTCTGTCCAGCAGATATTAGAAATCAGAACTAGAGAGTTCATGAAAGGAAGGTTAGGAAATTTGCGCGTTATGTGATGAAACATTTAAAACAGTTTGATGTCTGTTTGACAGAATGTTACACTCAGATCATTACTCCTGGGTCTAAATATATTTAAAATATTTAGAGAAATTTCATGTTGAAAAAAATATCATTTTCTGTTAAGTAAACGACAGCATCAACAAAAAACATGTAATGTTAAATGATAAAAGAATTTGTGTTAAAATATGAAGCATATAAATTGTAACTATGTCCGTTTTTCATTCTTTGTAGTATTAGAAAATATAGGATTGTTTCAAATTTAAAACATTTTCCCCATGAACAAAGATTAGAAGTTTTTCTGTTTGTCTACCAAACACAAACAGAAATTTTAAAATGAAAATTATTTTGACTCTAAGACTACTTTATTATACCGAGTTTCTGAATCTCTATTGAGAAACTATAGTTTGCCAAAAATTATCTTCATCATTTCCTAGAGCAGCATGCTGAGGTCTATTAATAAATGTGTGTGGGGAAGGGGTTGAAATATACAACTCTTTCTCTCAAACATTTGTCATATGAGAGAGATAGGATACAATATGAAATTAGTACTGTTATAACTAACAATTTTAAGATTTAAACATAATTTCCAAGCAAAACATTAAGAAAGTTAATAACATTGTTTGACACTGTACATTTTCCCTTTTGTGCCAATGTGATGCAGCTTGCAACCTGAAAGGTCATTTCACATGTACCAACAATAATTAGAAGCCATTATTTACAAAGAAAAAGAGAACCAACTGAAAATAATAACTTCTGGTGACACACAGGAGGGGACTTGTGTTATATCTTTATAAGATACATGGCAACATGCATCGCTCCACAATTCCATAATATGCTTAATACCATATTTGTACAAATTGTATCAACTGTCATATTTGAAATTTTTTATTCAAACTATCTGTACCAAGTATGTGACTACAAGCAGTCATGCATAAAAATTCCATTATGGTTACCCATTAGGTAGCAAACTAAAAAACTAAGGCAGACTGAAAACTAATAATTACTTTGAATTTCTCCACAGAATCCCTGGAGAGGATTTCACAAGCTGCATCAATTTCACTTCCTATCATGGTGAGAATGGATTCTTGTTCCATCTCTATACAATGCAGCTGATCTCTAAGCTGTAATCTGGCCTCCTCCATCCTCCTCAAATGATCTTCTCCATTGTTTATCTGTTTATCCTGAGGAAAAAGAATAAAGTAACAATAAAAAATGATTTACTTGTAAATTAACATCCAGTATCTTTTTAAGATTGTGCAAAAGGGAAAAACCCATAAAAGGATAATAACTTAAAGGGCAAATAGGCAGTAAGTATGAAGATTTTTAGCAAATAAGGCAGCTTGGATTAATGATCTATGTCCGTGGTAGGTTATCAACCATGGTGCCACTCACCTCTCATTGCCAAAAGCTGGGAATGAGTTGTGGGGATGGATCACTTGATATATACCCATTCTGATCAACCCCTCCGGGGCACCTAGCATTGGCCACTGCTGAAAGACAGGACAATAAGGTAGATGGACCTTTCATCTGCCCCAATATAGGAGATTTGAAATAAATTAACTAACCAAATCAAAAGAAAAGAAAATATTTCATCATGCTAAGCCACATTGCTGTTAGACCATAACAAACCTTTCAGTATTCATTTTTTCACATAAAGCTTACTAAATCTTCTGAGTCAAGAGGATATGCAGAAACTGACAAATGATTGTGCCCAATAAATTGATTTTTTTCTTGCACCCAAATCAGAAAAATACCAGCTACTGCCAATTCAGTTTCATCCAAACCCATGACAAGAAGGGAAGGGGAGTTATTGATACATTATTTTTAACAGGGATTCCCATTATCTCAGACAACTTCTCAAGAGAAAATCACCCTAGTAGATGCAGCAGCACAGATTTCTACTGCCCAGGTGGATTGGGAATGCCTGTACATTTGGCTACATGAAACCTTGGGGCACACAGGAAGAGATGAGCTGGTGCAGCAGGCACATGCCAGGGGGTGGCCCATCACCCACCAACAAGCCAGGGATCTGGTACAAGCTTGCACCCTCTGTGCTGGGCTCAGGAAACATATAACAGAAGGGCAACGGTTTGCCCGACTAAGAGATGGAAAGGTACTATGGACAACCTGGCAAATCGATTACATGGGTCCATTACCTACTGTCATGATTATGAGGGTTAGCCAGCAGCCTGGGGATTAAGGAGTTAACTACACCTAGCCAGGTGGCGTGACCAGTAGGAACGTAGGAGGGATTTTCAAACTGGGACAAAGGAATTTGGGCTTTTTTCTTTCTCCTTTTGTCTCTCTGGGTGAGTCCTCTGCAGCTACAGGTAGGAACAAGCATGTGTCTCTCTCTCCAATAAACCATTCTTCACTTTCTGTAAGTAGGGTAAAGTTTAGGTAGTTTTGTTAGGCTTTATTGTTTTAAGGGTTGGGTATGGGATCTGATACCCGGCACTGCTTAAGAGATGTTTGGCTTTTGTTTTTAACTAAGTTCTAGCCCATGGTGTAATTCCTCCATGAGTATATTTTGTTATCTTTCCATCTGATCCTTATGCTTGCAACAGGACTATTGTAATAATAAAAGTTTTCTCCTTTCTTTTTATTAACCTGGCATTGGTTACTGTGTGTCCTGATTTTTATAATAGGGGTGAGATTTCCCAAATGATCTTTCTCCTAATCTCGTTATTAATATTTGGGTGGTGGCAGCGGAAAGTTTATTCCCAAAATCTAGGTTTTTAAGATTTTGGGTGAAGTTTTATACCAAAGCCTGGTAGATAGGGCTTTGGGGTATGGTTGCTGGCCCCCACTTCTGCATTTATCGTGTCAGAGTGGGGAAGGAGCCATGACACCCACCAGTAAGCAAAGGTGGAAGTAAGTTTTAACAGGAATAGAAATTGTTTCAGGAATTGGTTTTGCTTACCCAACCCGAGAGGCAACAGGGTTGTCTACGATCATGGGACCAAACCGCTTAATAGCCCTTGTCCCAACACCCCAGGAAATTCAATCCAACAATGGCTCACATTCCAAGAACAAGTTGGTAAAAGAGGGGGCCCTCAGTAACGGAGTCCAGTGGACCTTTCACCTCCTGTATCGGCCCCAGTCTAATGGCATGGTCAAACGCTGGAATGGGCTGTTAAAAACCCACTTGAGGCCCACAGATGGTAAATGGGGAAACAGATTAGATACTGTGGTGCAGAGATTAAACAATCGGCAGACCCCTACAGGCAGTCTGATCAGCAAGGGATTCTTTCCTACGGGGAGAACCCCTCCTAGCCCCACTGTAACACTCAAAGATTCTAAATATGCACCTTGAAACACTGTGGTAATCAAAAACCCCAGTTTGGGGACACAAACCCACATACTGCACTCCTATAAAGGAAAAGGAGTCTGGACCACTGCAGATGCTGGGCTAATGCCATTAACCATTACTGAGGCTTGGATTGTATCCAAGACAGGCTGACTTTATGTTTTACAACAGGAAACTGAGGCAATGGTCCCAAACAGTGCTCCAGTGGGATGGATGCCTCCCAACGCTGGTGTGGATCCGGGAAAACACCATAAACTATATATATTTATATATACACACACACACACACACACACACATACACACACACACACCCCGCTTGCTGTTGTAGCACTTGCAATCACTGTTGTTAGTTATTGACTGAACTATGGGAAAAAACCTAAGCTGAAGCAAGACACGGTACTCCAACTTGCCATGGTTTTCTTCCTCATCTCAACTGTTACTGTTGTACCAGAACATCCGCTCAAAGGTACTATTCAAACCATCGCCTTTGCCGCTGGTGCCACAAACTGCTGGATGTGTACCCTGCTCAACTCCTCTACCGGACTGGGAATCGAGTTCGTCCCTCTCAACCCAAACAACTAGTGGAACAAGAGCGACATCTTTCGATGGGGACCAGTATGGTTTGATGACAGTGACTACCGCAATCCTCAAAATAACTCTGGGGGTGGGAGGCAAGGGAAGCGGCAACGGACGGTAAGGGGTAAGACATGATGTACCTAAGAATGTAAACAACTCATGGCTAAATTGGTTAGCCCAGCAGCTGGGATTTTCCCTAACTCCTTTCCTACACTCTATTATAACCACTGTTTTAATTGTAGTAATCATTTTTTGTATAACATTGTGTATTGTAAAACGCTTGGTTAATGCAGCTATCTCTTCTGCGCACATTCGCTATACAGCACTAGAAAAGGGTCCTAGCCAATTCCTCGATCCCAAACCCCCTAATCAGGCCACTGGTTACTTTTAGATTCCTCCAAGGTGGGCAAGAGGTGCTGGCATCACTGCCATCTTGTATCCTGGGAAGTAGTGTGTTGTATCAGGGGGTGGAATGTAGCCAGACAGCCCCTGCAACATCCATCTTGCTTGCCCCTTTTAGGTGCCTCAAAGCACACAGGGCATAAAGAGCAATAAGATCAGTATAGTCTTTGATGCCTTGACAGAAGGCCCAGATATGCTGGCTGCTGTGATCCTGGATAACTGTAGACACAGATACTAGAGGGTTGTCATTGCTCCTTCTCCACTCTGGCATAATAAATGCAGAAGTGGGGGCCAGCAAGTGTACTCCAAAGCCTTATCTACCAGGCTTTGGTATAAAACTTCCCCCAAAATCTTAAAAACCTAGATCTTGGGAATAAAACTTCCGCTGCCACCACCCCAATATTGATAAAGAAATCAGGGGAAAGATCATTTGGGAAATCTCACCCCTATTATAAAAATCAGGACACACAAGTAACCAATGCCAGGTTATTAGAAAGAAAAGAGAAGACTTTTATTATTACAACAATATTCCTGTTGCAGGCATAATGACTAGATGGGAAGGTAACAAAATATACTCATGGAGAAACTCCATGGGCCTAGAACTTAGTTACAAAGAAAAGCCAAAACATCTTTTAAGCAGTGCCAGACATCAGATCCCATACCCAACCCTTAAAACAATAAAGCCTAACAAAACTACCTAAACTTTACCCTACTTACAGAAAATGAAGAATGGTGTCTTGGAGAGAGGGGGACATGCTTATACCTCTATGTAGCTGCAGAGAACACACACCAAGACACAAAAGGGAGAAAGGAATTTGGGTTTTTTCCTTTGTCCCAGTTTGAAAGTCCCACCTACATTCCTACTGGTCTCACTACCTGGCTAGGTGTAGTTAACGCCTTAATCCCCAGGCTGCTGGCTAACCCTCATAATCATGACATGCCCCCCAAATCACAGATGGTGCTGGACAGCCTCTGGCCACACTGGCTGTGATTTCTTCCTGGAAGTCTGATATAAAACAAAATGCTTCCATATCCATGGAGTACCATAACAGATATACAGAAAGTATACTAAGTAATTGAGTCCAGAAATGCCTCATTAACCAATCAAACTCTCAGTCTCAAAATCAAATTTAGAATAGCATAGGGTCTTGATCTAAAGTTCAATTGACCAGGTTCTGTGCCTCTTGTGAAATACACCTCTGTCATACACCAGGCCAGGTCTTGGCACCACGGAGGGTGTAAACTCTGGGCGAACTGCTTAAAACCAGGGCTACTTACCGCCCTCAACTGGGGTCCTTCCCCAGGCACCTCTCAAATTACACCGAGCACTTCAGCTGCCTCCCCAGTCAGCCAGAAGCCTCACCAGCAAAACCCCTTAGAAACTCCAGCTTCCCGGTGCCATCACCAAACTTAAGCCAATAAGCTGACATAGAGGCTGCGAGAACTGCCCTTGGCTGGCACCTATATTGATACGATCACATGGCCGTCCCCGGAAGGGGAATCTCCCACTGAGAAAAGAATGCCCAGAACTCCCAATTTAGTTCTCTCTCTTGCAAGTGTAAATTAAGTTCACAACTCCCTTGTAAGAGCTGGCGTCACAAAGACGGTCCAGCACAATTTGGCATCTTAGATAAAAAAGAGTATACATGCCCCCATGGGTATAAAGATGGGGCCCAGCAGCACACTTATTTGAGCATCAATCTACCATCTACCTGCTGGTCGGATTAGGTGATTGCCTCCTGAGGTCCACATGGGGACGCCCAGCCTCATATTCATCTTTCCCGGGAAATTGAGGGACCGATCCTGGCCTGACACGCTGGAATCGAGGGATGCAGAAGGGGGTAAAAATTGTACCTGTATGTGTCCTTTTGTTTTAGTGCATGCATAGAAT